AAAAAATAAAATCTACTTGATAATAATAATCATTTAAAAAATACATTCAATGAACTGAATTTTGTAATTATTAATTTTCACCACCGTTTCTTGGAAAAACCGATGTACAAACTATTTTAGATTTAAGAAAATATAACATAATATATTAATATCAAAGAAATATACATTACTTTGTTATTGGTGTATTTTTTATCACTGCGCTCGCGCAAAAACTTTTGTATATTTAGAAAGTACCTATACCTACGAGCATACTACATGTGTTCAGTAAAAATGAAAGCAACACAAACGATGCAAAAAGGTTATCTTATGTTTTAAACGTAGTTTCAAACAGAGTATGAGAAAAATTTAACATTAAAAACTTACTTGCTGTTCTAAAATATGTAATTCCCATAAAATGACTCAAAAAAAATTTTGCTTAAAACTATGGACTAATAAATGACAAATATAAGTATAAACACGGGTAACGTCATTGGACTTCAACCTGTGGAGATAAGTATATACGGATCCTGTGTAGGAGTGTTCATCACCTAGTTCCAGCTTAAACTTTAACAGACTAGGGGTTTTTATTTTCTTTTAATATCCCATAGGGAGTTTATTGTTTTCAAAGTTTAAAATGGCACGCGGGGTATTTAATTAATGCATGGACCCTCAAATGTGACATTTTAAAAGTTTTATTTTTTTTAATGTTTAACTTATAAGAAATCATTCATTACCTTTATAGGATACAATCAGAGTAAATACATTAAATAAGGTACTATAGATGACAGATGAATTTATTAAATAAATAAAAGATGTCAAATAAATCATAAATATTATTAATCATAATCAGTTATTAAAATCAATATTAGTTTATTAAAAATTGTTCAACGATAAATTTTTTTTCGTTTTCGCCTACTTGGCTTTTTTTTATTACTAATTTTCCGGAAAACAACGTATTGACTTTAAGACAGTACTAACGTAACACAATATTTTATGCCGTGTACATGGAACAAGTATCAAAAAATTCAAAATCCGTTGATGATAATAAAAAAGCGGATTGAAAATAAAACATGGAGTAAATGATAGTTGTTTAATTTTTGAACTTTGTTAGGACTGTGCAGACCAAAGTTTGATTAGTTTATACTTCCTGAGATCATTAAATTTAGTAAATGTCCTAATAATTGTATTTAATAAATACATTATAATATGTTGAATGGTAATAATAAAATAAAATAAACAAAACAGGCTTTATTTGATTTTTTGTAGTAAAAAATATATTTCAAACTTAATATATACTCTTTTGAAACAATGTATTTTATAACCAAACATAAATAAATGACTCTGTTAAAAATTATCAACAATTTTTTGTATAAAAATTACATTTTCAACTTAGTCATACTTCATCAATCGTGCACTCATATTAACAGTTGCAGAGATTACAATTAGTATGTCTTCATGGAGCGAAACTAAGTTCTTGGGAAGCTTTGAGTCAACAACTTTAAAAATCTTAACGCGTTGGTTTGATCGATCTAGCTGCAATCCAGATGCAGGTACAGATCGATCAGTAGACTCAAAGCTTTGGCATGTTGACACGTTTTTGTCCATGCCTTCTTTGCTTGGACTCAACATTATTTCTTTAAAAACTGAACTTAGTTTTTTAATTATATCTTCAAAGATTCTTTGACAATGCTTAGCACTATAAAATTTAAACATGACTGCTAACATTGCATAAGACAAATTCTGCTTTAACTTTGCATATACCATGATCACTCTATCTCTAATATTCATTTTCATAGATTTTTGCTCAACATTCAGCAACCCTACAATTATATCTAATATCTTGAAAGATTCAATACCAGTCACAGTACATAATTCTGTGTCAGATGCAATGAAATCAGCAAAATTACAAGTTTTTTCAACGTATGTATTCACTTGAACTTCAGCTTCACTCGTTACTTTGCCACTGTCATACGTTTGACACTCAGCATCTACCTTAGGCGATGTGATTAATATGAAATATGGCCTTTCTTCGGAAGCATATTTGACAGCATAGGAATGATCATTGTCGATCACAGATGAATTTGCACAGTCATTTGTATTTGTTTTGCAAGATAAGTTCAATTGATGGCGTGTAATAGGCACAGTTTCACAGTCTTTTTTCACTCTCCTAATTGATTTTACGTTGTTTGTTTCTTTTGTTACACTAATTGGCAGATTGATAGAAGGAACGGCGTTTTTTTTTAGAATTCTTCTATTCCATGGCATACCTAAAATCAAACAAGGCATTTGTTTGTAATAGGTAAAAAGTAGTCAGAAAACATGGAGCCAACCAGTACCTGGTAGAAAGTAGTCATCCCTTTTAAAGTGTTTCGAACATACTTTCATCCTAGATGTTACATTATGAAGTCTCACAGCAATTTTCCAAGCTGTAAGCCTGTCTATTTTTTCCGTGGTACCAAAAATATTGGTCCTACTGACAAATTGCTTGTCAGGCTTAGGAAATCTGTAAAAGCTAGTACCTAAGTTTTTATCCGCACGACTACCACAACCACTCACGCAACAGGAATCTCTGTTAGTATTTTTCGATCGTTCAGAAAAATTTTGAGGCTCCATTTTTAGTTATTGTTTGTTACTAAAACATATAATAAGTCAGCAATGCGATTAAATACTGCGTACTTAACCTTATCTTCACTTGTATCACTTTTCAGTTCACTCGGTGGTCTTAGTCGTCGTTAGAGTATTGTACAACACCACTAACGTTTAATGTCAGATAAGTATCTAAAAATAACGTTTTAATTATAATGTTGTAATATAGGGACATTGCCGATGACACTTGTTATGTTTGAAGCTTATTGCTGTCTGCTGTGTATGCTCGAGTTCCGGACAATCCGGACCGGTTGCATAGTTGCATTTGACCGCACACGACGTTTTTTTTTTTTTGTTTTACTTAATTGTTGGTCGTTTTGTATAGACTCATTTTTATTTAATACATGTAAGTTTGTTGTTTTTTCGCCCGAAAATTTGGCGCCCAAAATTCAAAAATAAAAATTCCATCTAAGCGTGCATTTTCATGTGAATGCTTCGTGCTAACCACCTGCGAGATCTCCATGAAAACGTACCCAAAGCATTTGTTGAATCTTTCTCAGTCGCATGCAGTCACATCAAGTAGGGAGTAGGGATATTAGAATTACTTAGAACTTATTTTTTTCTTCGTGTGCAATATATACATCAGTATAAGTATATGTACATAAGTTAAAACGTCACGATCTGTTCGTAGGTATGTAAAAAAAAAACTATCGCGATCATAACAATAAAACATACCAATCTTATTACTCATAAACTTGTACTGGACAAAGAAACAGACTTTATAAACAATAGAGTGCGTAAAATATTTTCAGTGTTCATTTTGTTAAAGCATCCGATACGATTCCATTGAACAGTAGGTACATACATATTAAGATCGTTAAATACCTGATTAAGTGTAAAAAAAAAATTTATACAATGTACTAATAGTTTTTTTCCTTCAACGGAGCGATTACACATTTTTTTTTTTTTTATTTTTGCATGATTAAAAAAAAATCTCGGTTCTCGTACTCGTGTTGACAAATTTTGAATTAACTCGTTAAAGTAAAAAATTAGTACGTTGATAAAAAATAAAATCTACTTGATAATAATAATTATGTAAATATTAAGTATAGGCAATATTAAGCTCTCAAATCCCTTTGCACAATAATGTATACAGTTTTCTGCGCTTATGCATATTGTATACACTTCGAATAAGTATACTTTTATTATTTACGAATTATTGAAGTGTATGAATATGCCAGCGATCTAAAAATAGGTTTATCGTGAAATGCTGGGAGCAGAGAGTGATTATAGCTTATAGCTAGGAGTAAGTGAACAAGTCACTCCCACAACAGATTTCGATGGGTTGAGATTCAAATTAAGATTAAAAAAAGTTTTTGTAAGATTTAACTCGTTAGGAGACTATTATATTAAATCAAAATACTGTACCTTGAGTGTATCAAAAAATGAAACAAGCTTTTTTGATAAACAAAAGAGATGATGAGTGAACCTTTTATTGCACCCAAGTTATTTATTTATTTTCCATTTCAAATACTGCGTTCTTCATTTTTAGTGTGACAAAATGTATAATCACACTTTTTTTTTCATTTTAATACAAAAACTACAACCACGCCTTTGCTGACCTTACATTTTCCTTTACGGGTCCATATTTTTTTAAGGTGCCCCTTGCGATTCGAACGAATAAATTGAGTTGAAAGTAAATGGTTTAGTTTAAGACATAATACAATAAATTTTTTAGGTAATCATGGAATCGTATTCATCCAAGGATCTTGAGGAATGGGAAAATTACAAAGTAATTGAATAACATTTTTATAGATTCGATAAATATTAGCATCTTAATTTAAGATTTCTTACAAATTTTTCGTAAAGGAAACGATTTAACATATAAAAATAACATTGAAAGAACATTGTATTATTTTTTATATTATTATTAATCATATATTTTTGTAGTAAAAGTAAAAAATATTTTAGACTCAATTCAATAAAAAATATGAAGAGACGGAGAATCAAACAAGGATGGTTACGTATTTTAAGAATAAAGATTGGGTTGAAAAACATAACGCCAAGTACGAAAAAGGGGAGGTTTCTTATCGTGTCAGTGTGAATCAGTTTTCCGATCAAGTGAGTGTATAATTTATCAATGCATCAATAAAAATTTAACAACAAAAATAATGCATCAACATTATTTTTCAGCGTTTGAACTCGTCATAAGATTTTTTTCAAGTCCTACAAGCATTTAATGTTTTGATATTCAAATTCACAATCTTACTTTCATTAAGAATGTATAATGTTATTTTATAAATTTCACGATGAGCGAGTAAAAAAACGACTATGGTGTACCATTAGGAAATTCACTTTGGACATTAAATTAAGGTAAAAATAGAGAACTTTTTAATGAAAGTACTGAATTAAAATTTTACCCAGTTTGATTCAAGCATTCCATGAAGTAAGTATATATATAATATACTTGAATCTTTCAAGGTGAACCTATATAATACAAGTAACACATTGTAATCATCGAAACATATTTTTGTATCAAAATAAAATTACTTGGAGTTTTTTTTTGCAAATTCCGTTGTACCAAGCAAAGTAATTTATTTTTTCCCATATTTATGTGACTACGATTACTAGCTTTTTATGCTTAGTTTTCACATTTACCAGCTTAAAAAACGTGCTTCATCATCGCGCACCGCGGCATATAGACACGAATGACGAACTACGACGGTGATGGCCGAACATTGACGACGACTTGCATCGCAACAAAAAAATCCTAAACAGATGGAACCAATACATAAATGTAAAAAATTTTTTTTTTTTTCAAAAAGAAACATGTTAGAAATTTGTTGTAAAATCATTTTTCAAATTTAATGTATTTGAATTACTACGAATTAATAAAAAATGACGATAATAGTCAAGGCTTCAGGTGTCAATTTGAACCTTACGTTAGTAAAACAAAAAAAAAGATGAAAAATTTTCAAACTGAAAATTTGGGTAACTCTCATTCCACTCGTCGAGATTTCGGATTTTTCGTAAAATGCTCCATGTATATTATTTTCTTGTAGGTATCGCCTCTCTGTGGACGGTTGGCCAACCTTTACTCCGAGTGTTGCCGGTGTCGAGAGCAGACTCTTTTCTACCGTTGTTGTGTCGTGATCGTGCTCGAGAAGCCAGGTAAGCATAAATAATAATACAAGTATAACGTAAACACTGCTTCAACTTAGTTTTACGCACCAGGAGGCGTATCCTCGTCACGGTGTACCCTGTCACCGTTCCATTCGTGCAGTAACATTCCTTATGGAAGTGTATAACTCAACAATGGCTCTCGACGGAACGCCGCGTGGCTTTCGGAGAAAGTCTGACTGGTCCAATTTTTTTTTTTTTTGTTTGTTGCTTTTGCATCGCATGGAATGTAAGCTACGGATTTTCGAATACGCGTTTTGTTCTAACGATTAACGGGAATAAACGATACGCACGGTGGTTCTGTCGTTGCATCTGACCCTGAAATAACGTTATATAAAACATAAATAGTCAACAGGCGTGTGTGAGAGGCCCCCATTACAAGTACTGTCTGCTTGCTTTGCACCTCTCTGTGTACAGCAGGATAATAGAATCACGTATAGGATACGTGCCTTTTATTCTACGGCTGTTGGACATAATAGTGTTCTCGATGCTTCTTCAGCGCATGGAGATTGTCTATAGGAGTCTTGGAAATCCGAAGCGCTTGCGCGTCCGTTTTTTTTTTTTTTTCTTCTACTTTACGCTAATTGCACTAGAGAGGGAATCACGAATGATGCGGAACGGATACAATTTTTTTTGCACCATTGTGTATTGTCATGATTTCTCGATCTAAGACCAAATAGGTATTACATCGTCGAAGGTGTTCCGTTGAATATTTCATTACTTACCTCGGCACTCGCGCGATTGTCATTACTCAAGTAGTTCTAGCTGCAACTTTTCCGGCACGTCATCCAAAGTATATACTTGTAGGCATTAGTAGTTTAAGTTGCAACAGTTGCGGTAACTCCTTTTTTTTGCCAATAGCGAGCAACCGTGAACGATTCTTTTTTTTTTTTTTTTTTTTTTTTTAATTCTAGCGAAAAGAATCGACTGGTTGCTTTCGGAATAAAACCGCAGCTGCCGTTGATAAGCGAATGCTTTCTTTTCACTGTGTGCGTATACGCTGTTATCGAACTTGCTTAGACTTAACCAGCATAGATTTTAACTGTAATCATTACGGAACGTTGTTGGCTAATAAATCTTACGTAAAATATACTCGATCGATTTTTTATTTTAGTTGAACATTTTTCGTCTATTTTTAGTACAACTGGAGATATTGCAAGCTTTCAAGCATGAGTCAGTGCTGATAAACTATGAAATTTTTCTTGTTTCAGAAAACTAAATCATCATGCCTGTCCCAGAGTTACAAAAACCAGCACCTCAATTCAAAGCAACAGTGGTTGTTGATGGCCAGTTCAAGGAAGTTTCTCTATCAGACTACAAGGGAAAATATGTTGTTTTGTTCTTCTACCCACTAGACTTGTGAGTAATTTTAGTAATTTGTAAATTTAATTTTTTCTCAGTTTATTTTTGAACAATAATATTTAATGCAAACATCATTTACAATAATTTCATTAGCCTAAAAATAGTACAACATGTGAGTTTAAAGCGATAAATCTTCCATACCGACGGTACAACTATATAGATATACACAAATGACATTGAACTAATTCTAAGTGAATCTAACTTGTAATAAAACACTGCTTATTGAATACTTATTCTTCCGAAAAATCTTCCTTCAACACCCACTAGTTTAAGAAAAAAGAATTTAGAAAATTTCACTTGATGAAATACTCTGTGGTGCTTTATTACATAAATTTTCAAATAGTAGGGTAATTCTAAAAATTAACAATTGTCTTTGAATGAAACAAACGCTTTTTTTTGTTTCAGCACATTCGTCTGTCCAACAGAGATCATTGCTTTCTCTGATCGTGCAAAAGAATTTGAAAAGATCAACACTAAGGTGATTGCCGCATCAACTGATTCACACTTTACCCATCTGGCATGGGTCAACACTCCCCGCAAGCAGGGAGGTCTAGGAAAACTGGACATACCACTTCTTGCTGACAAATCCGGTAACATCTCCCGAAGCTACGGTGTTTACAACGAGGAGACTGGTATTCCATTCCGAGGTTTATTCATTATTGATGATAAACAGAACCTTCGGCAGATCACCATAAATGACCTTCCTGTTGGAAGGTATGTAGAAATTGACGTTATTTTCTATTAAAGCGTAAAATGTTTTTAGTTTTAAAAAAATTTAATTGAGTCTTAATTAAAACCACGGTGAATTTTTTTTTAGATCCGTCGATGAAACTCTTCGATTGGTACAAGCATTCCAATTTACTGATACGCACGGTGAGGTTTGCCCTGCAAACTGGAAACCAGGAAGCAAGACAATGAAGCCTGACCCAGTTAAATCGCAAGAGTACTTCAAGGATGCGTAAATTGATTCATAATTATCTATGATTCACACTCATGCGCAGCGCCCATAAAATCACTGATTTGTATACTTCGTAAAAGATGAAAAATGAAAATAAAGTATTTTTAGAGAATTCCTGTGGATTAGGATTCACTTTAATTTTTCATCGTATTTACATTTGAATAAAAGAATTTCTTTTTTAACAAATGTTATTTAATTACTCTCATTATGTTTCATACAAATATATTCTTGTTGACAATACAAATGAATTCCGTATCAACTTGAGTTTGATACATTAATTCATGCCACTAAAATTTGTAAAATGAGTTATGAATTTTGTTCATAGACGCATGATGTATTGAGAGCCCGTGAGGGAGCACAGTAAAATAAAAAACTCCCAGATGTTACCAATCATCAACAATTTCTCGTCATCATCGTGATATTTTATAAAAACTTTAAACAAAATCAAATTCCATACGTTAAAACCCATGCCGAACACGAAAAAAAGGGACATTTCGTTGAATTGATAAAAAGTACGCTTACCATTCTTTCAACAGTTATTACATAGTGTACATAAAATAAGAGAAATCGCAAACATTAAAAAAGAACAATATTAAAGTTGAACTAAGTTATTTCGCTCAGTCTTGAGAAAAAAAATCATTCATTACCCGTAATATTGTACTTACGTAACGTTGCTTGTATTGCACCACCATCAGAGCCCACACGCAGCATCTGGGCTTCCAAGGAAAGGCTTTCACGTTTATTATTGACTCTCGATCGGTGCCCTCCGTATCCCCAACAGCTTACGATTTATTTGATCGCCTCTCAAACGTACGTAAATCTCCTCTGTGCTCCCACAATTGCAGACTTATGCAATTGGGTTATTTCGGTATGGTGCACCCAAACAAACCGAACAACCGCGAAGCCGGCCGTGAACGATTGTTATTGCCAGCCGATGCATGGACACACGAGTCGCTGGAAATCGCGTATAATATGTATGCGCTCGCGGCTGTTTTTATGGAGCTACTTTTGGGTTTTCTGTTTTCGTAACTCTGGTTTTCTGTATTACACCGCCGCTGGGATTTTCGGGGTCATACCAAGTTTATAGGTACGCTGTTGGCACGTGATGGACCTTTTTAGTGCACCAGATCATCGAACGTGATGATCTTCGACAGTTTACTACACAAACAGATTGTTCGTAAATTTTATAGTTTGGAGTGATTTTTGAGAAATTTTCTTTTTTTGGGCCATACTGTTTATTAAATTCGAAGTTTTTGACATTGTCTGTAGAAAAAACAACTTTTATTGAGCATTAGGGAAATTTTTCTTCTTTGCTCCTTTTTTTTTAAAAAAAAGTAAAACTAATTTGCTTACAAGCGCGTTATTAGCGCAGTTCTTGAAAAAAAAATTTTTTTACTTTGTTCGTGCATGAAATAAATGAAGGATTTCTTATTACTTTCAAAAAATTACACAAACTAGTTGTTTTGCCGCAAAAGTATAATAAATATACGCAATGCAATAAAGAAAAGGTGTTACGGTTCATTATTCACGGCTGAAAGCACAGAAAAAAGTTATCGTCAAACTATCGTATCATTAAGTTTTTTGAAACGTGGGAAAAGACGAAAATTCAAGGAAAAAATGCGCTTTTCCTAAAAATGTAATTTCAGTTGGCGTATTTATATCTATTTTTCACTTTGTAATAGAAATACATTGATGTCCAAAAAATATGGACTAATTATATTTTGTTCTCGATTCTCCTCCCCGAAAAATAATATTTTCAACCAACTTTGCTTTTCGTTTGACAACAAAAATATTGTACGACTAGTTTTCAAGAGTTTCATAAACTAAAGGCTATATGATGGTGAATCTCGTGGAAATGGCCAAGTGAGGAAAACGATACATTTCAAGACAATTTCACAAGACAAACAAAACGAAAAAAGCAATCACTTGTACCGCCAAGGCTTACTATTGCTTTTATTTTAACGTATAAAAAAAGAGTTACTAAAGTGAAAGATAAAATTTTTTATGCCTTCTTTGGCTATAAATACAGGGCCGTAAATTGAAGACGCTTGGTATCCTAAGACGCATTTTCCGCGCAACATCTGTTCTCAGCAACCCGGTAAAAGTGCCAAAACAACGTCTGTTTGGATTTGTTTTTTTTTTTTTGTTTGTTGTTTTTACTCGCACATGAATCCACAAAAGAAGTACGCGAGTCCTACTGGCGCGCTTTTGTATTATCGTGCTCGACTGGCCTCTCACTCTCTTTTCTCTTCCGCGTCGGGCTTATTTTAGACACGCGCGCATGCGGACGCTTATAACGCGTAAGTATGCCCACCGCTCATAATACTTACGAGCATGGCAAGCTATAAGCACGACTCGTCGACTTTTTAAGGTATATGGGAGGGAGACATTTGGATTCCCTGACTCTATTTTTTTTTTTTTTTTTTTTTCGGAGACCCATTTTCCATGGGTTTTTTGTTTTTCATTGGCACCTTCGGAATCACGCGGGTCCGCGCTTTTATTTTTTTACGTGGGCGAGTACTTGCGGACGATGTGCTCGATTATGTAATCAAAAATAAAAAATTGTAAAAAGATAAGTGGGAAAATATTGTTTACAAGGAATAAGGGTCCTTACAACAGGTATAAAAAGACGTCTTTGAAAGAAAGAAAACGGTTTCGTAAAATCATGACAATCTTTTATAAAATTAATGGTGATAATTCTATAATCGTACAGACATAGTCACGTTCACAGGGCATCCCAAACGAAATCAATCTGATATCATTGGAATCATTGGTAAATGTTCATCAGTTGACGTCTTCCAAGATACTTTTAAAATACAACAAAATCAGTGACATTATTTTATTATCACATTTGTAATTACACCTTGAGCGAATAAGTGTTACGAGCTCGATTTGTAAAAAGATAAATTTAATTTTTAAAAATTCATTTTTATGCATATCACTGTATTACATATAGTAACACCAACATTGTGTTATGATTTTACAAAATAGCACCTAAATGCGAGACGAATATTTTTACCTGAAGTCATTTCAAAATCAACATTGAAATCATTCCAAAATCATTTCGAAATCTCGAACCGTTTGGAAAATCAACACGAAGCATGAAAAAAAAAAGCAGACCCTCAATCAAATGAAGTGACGTACTTTAGCTGGAAGTGATTGGATAGCTCGTAAAGTTTCAAAATAACCCCAACTTTTGTAAACATTTTCGACTTACAAAGAAAAAAGAAGAAAAAAAGCCTGCTCCACGTTTTCAAATTTCACGACGAATAAAAGAACCCACATCGCTCCCCCCCGCGATTCGACACGAAATAGAAAACCCACGCGACAACTCGGCACCGTAAAATCAGCCCCGCAACGCGTTCATTCACAAACACGCCTCTACGCATCTCCATTTGTGTCCGCACCATTCAACTCACCCCACCTCTCTATATATCCTCCTTTTTCTCTCTCTCTCGTGAGAAAACAAAGCTTTGCGCAACAAAAACTCCCAGCTCGGCTGCCGCGAGCTTGCAAGCTCGAGCGCGAGGAGAGACGCGCGACGGGCAGTGAATCCCACTTATTAAAGCTCCATTGAATATCGGGCCATGGGTGTAAAAAAAAGCTCGCCCCTGTATCATCTTCGGCGCAGCTGACTTTTTTCCCCCGAAGGAAGCTCTCTCTCTCTCTCTCGAGCGTAACGCGGGCGCGGCCGAAAATAGAGGGGCCGCAGCGCTGCGCGTGTACCCACGTTGTATTACCTGTACAAGCGCCATCCGCCGGAAATCGTCCGACCGTCGACGGACAGCCGAACCTGAACGCGTGCTGTTCTCATCCCCCGTCTTCGGTCGCCGCAGTGCCTCGCCGCCGCGCGCCAAAGCTCCGAGCGCGTGGTGAGCTTGCAAGCTCCGCGGTGAATGTCGTGATGGCCGCCGACGCGCTCCGAGTTTTCGGCTGACGAGGTGTGCTGGTGTTGGTTCCGTTATTCGCGAAGCTCGACGGTTATTTTACCCCGTGGAGGTGTGTATTGTCTCGGTGAAAAGTGCGTGGAAGATTATTGACGAGCGCCCGCGTCATCTACTGGCGTTTATCCCGATCCAAGCTCGCTGGACGTCCTATGCGCGAGAGACCACTTTTCTTTTTTTCTTTCCTTTCCAACGTCTATTTTTAAACGTTCTGCCTCTGCTTCCCCAAGTCTTGGGCGAGGAACACTTTGCTGACGATGGCGTGAAAAACGCACGAGTGAATTATGAATACGGCACTTTTTTGGTCTTTTATACTTGCTTTTTTTTCTCTCTTTGGGGCCCACGCACAATCGCGTTTCGTACGGGGGAACGCGTAGCTGACGATGCACGTCGCGAGTGTACGCGTTTTCTTTACTGAAAAAATTCTCGTGGATGAGGTCTCGCGTGGTATTTCCTCTGCAAGCTTTTTCAGGATAGGTATTTCTCAAAATCCCGAAAGTGTCTTGGTTACATTGCCTATTCCAACTGTCACTGCACTATCCTTGTGGTAACACCAAAACAAGTGGGGTCCAGTGTTTTTTTTGTTTAATTCACAAAGTTTTATTGCAAAATTGTGTTTACACAAATTATTAACAAAAACGCAGTTCTCGCGATGAGATTTGTCTCTCATCCAAATTTTTAATAAGCGTTGGCTATCAACATTTTTTTTAATAATTACCAACCGCATTAAACTCAAATTTGCCAGGTGTACTCAACTAAATTTATGCATTATTATTGATGGTAGAATATATTGATGCCAAGAAACTTAATTTTAACATTACACCTCTTACGCGACCAAAATCTGAAATTGACTTAAAAATTAACGTCGTTTTATCTCGAATTTCAGTTTGACCTCCATCCAGAAGATTCAATAGTTGACGAGTTACAGTGATCGGTATCATATTCGAGTCGACAGCAATTTTTCTAGTAACGACAGTCACTGTGAACTGATTATCGAAAAAACGAGATGTTCTCAAAGAACCAGTTCAACGATGCTTACCCACAAGACCGATGGACCACGAATCTGCTACCTTCACCTGATATCTCCACGTGACCATTGGGGCGCATGCCACGAAGAGTCAAATTATTTACGGAGATGTATTCGACAGCATCAGTCATTTCGAGAAAGCGGACAGTTATATTCGGTGTTGAAAACGTTACTCATGCCAGTGTTGATGGATGATTTCCCGTGAGTCTCAAGTAAAGTTTTTAGTTGCGAGTGCAGTGAATTTTTATTCTTAACTTTTATTTAAAAAATAAAAAAATAAAAAAATGTAGCCTGCTTCATGAAGAAAAACAACCAAGATGTTCAATTCCAACAGCGGTATAAACGAGTTTGGAAAGCCATATCTCTCACTCTCTTTTCTCTTCCGCGTCGGGCTTATTTTAGACACGCGCGCATGCGGACGCTTATAACGCGTAAGTAGGTAAGCATAAATAATAATACAAGTATAACGTAAACACTGCTTCAACTTAGTTTTACGCACCAGGAGGCGTATCCTCGTCACGGTGTACCCTGTCACCGTTCCATTCGTGCAGTAACATTCCTTATGGAAGTGTATAACTCAACAATGGCTCTCGACGGNAAAAAATAAAAAAATGTAGCCTGCTTCATGAAGAAAAACAACCAAGATGTTCAATTCCAACAGCGGTATAAACGAGTTTGGAAAGCCATATACTGATACGAAGTGTTTTTTGTACACCAAACTTACAAGTGAACACTGCCAAATAGTAATAAAAAAAACCATCGACTCCAGTGCAACCAAACGATGATCCATTCCAGTCGACCAAACGACAAACGCACAACCCACGTAAGTGCCACCAAATTGTTCGATACCCCAAGCCGATAACAGAACACACTCGCCGAAGAGGACAAGAGATGGCGGACACGAGTAGCCCGAGTCTGCACCGGACGAACCGGTGCAGCGCTACGAGCTGCACCAGATCGTCACCAAGAGCCCGCAGGCGGAGACGGCGCTTCGATCCAAGGGACGAAAAGCTCCCAAGTCCACCTCCAGACCCGCGCTCCGAGTTACCAGAGCCAACTTGCACGACACCAAGCAGGGCCATCAACAACTGCGCCCTCACCGGCACCGAGGAGGCCTTTCGCCACCTGGACCAGTTGCACGCCGTCCTCGAACAGATCCTCGAGCTGCGCCATAAAAACGCCCGGCTGTTCCGACGGGTGCGCGAGCTCGAGCGGCTCCGAGTTTCGCACCGCCTCGACGAGAGCATCCGCCGGTCGGTGCAGCTGTTGCACAGCCATGCCCCGGAGGAGCCGGAGGAAGACACGGGCTTTGCCGAATCGCTGCTCAACGCGATGCTCGGTGCAGCTCAGGGTATACCACCGGAAGCACCGGGTGAAGGGGTGTCGAGGCGGCGTAGCCGGTCCATCGGTGGGGACAGCCGGGCGCCGGTGGTGGTGTCCAGCGTCAAGAGGTCGAGCTGCCACCTGCAGTACCGCCACCCGTTGGGTGCCAAGGCCGCGGGGAAGCGCGTCTCCCTGGGCTTTGTCTTTCCCCCGAAGGTCAGCAAGTGGACCAAAGTCAAGGCGGCCTTCAGGTGGGAAAAGGCGGGTATCGGCACCATTGCCACCACAGTTGGCAGCAGTGGGTCAACGGTCGAGACAACGGTGGAGCAGACAGACGACACGTGCAGGTTTCTGAGGCCACCCGTGGAAGCTGCACCGGAGTTCTCGGCCAACTCAACGACCACACCGTCTGGCTCGTCGCCCAGGACAGCCGAGCATTCGGGTCCGCCGAGTCCGGCCACATTGTCTTCCTCCTCTTCGGTGGACGATGTCTACGGTAAGCATCACCCGTCGTAGTTTTATTGCATGGGTTTGTCTCTGATCCAAGTAAAGGGTTGCAAGTAGATTTCCTTCCGAGTGAATTATTCGTTTTACAACCTTGTGGTTTTCAAAGTGAAGAACGACTCATTGTTGGTTGATTTAAAACATCTCAACAACTTTGAAGTTACTACTTTTCTTAAACGAAAAAAAAAAAAAAAAAAAAAAAATGTGTGGATGTAGTCAGAGTTGACAGCTGGAAATGAAGTAAAACTAGGAATGCCACTACTACCAGTAGAGTTAAGCTAATAAAATTGTTACGGTAAAAAAAAAAAAAAAAGAAACGTTTATTTACGCTACCCACGGTATTAACAAGGACAGTTTTGCAGTCATAGTAATCGGCAGTAAATAAGAATCTCCAATGTGTCCAAGAAATTTCGTTTTGTTTATCATTGTGAGCTTTATTTTCTGCCCCGTACTGTACTAAATCTGTCGATACGATGTACGTGATTCACGTCAACTCGTTTACCTTCACGGTCACACTTGCCTCCCTAATTGCTTCTCGCCATGCGATATCCATGTGCTATATCATATTGTCCTTCTTGTTTTTCCCACCAAAATGCTCGAAATTCGGTAAGTCATTTGTTGTTTTTTGAGTCTTCGTTTTAAAATTTATCGCTGCTCTTGGCCCGTTTATCCCGTTGCCTGTGTACAAAACTTTGTTTTCCTTATTCTGACTATCCGCTTTTAAAAATTTTTACTTTATTTTATGGTTTGGAATAAATTTGAATTATGGATATTCCATTCAACCAAATACTCATTCAAACTTCGTACTTGAAAATTGATGGAAAACCTTTTTGATTACAAAATTATAATTTGATTAAAAAATTGAATTTTCATGATAACTTTTTTTGACTTGCAGGTGGCTACAAGCGAACATTTGCACCAAGAGCTACAACGCGAATCAACGAAGAAAAAAACCAAGCCCCCAGAAGTAGATCTCTCGAAGGCGAAGTTACCATTCCTCAGAATATCCTATGCGTGACGCAGAACTCGAGGGTAAATATGTACTTTTTATTTCGACTCAAGGGACGTTTCACCCCATCGTGTGAAGCCTACCGACGTCCCAAAGCCACTTGTTATTACCGATGATTGTAAAAGATGTTGCACGACTTGATTTTTCAAGGAAGGCGTCAGCAGGAAGCTAGAAAAGATTCACAAGACTCCCTGGGGAATGGTAAAGGAAATCATTCAGTCTCGCCGCGACAACGCTACCCAGCGGCCGTTGCCCCACGTGAATGTCCGCAGCGAGGATGGTTATTCGCTCTCGAGCCACGGATCGTCAGATGTGATTCACGAAGTAAGCCCACTTGTACTGTAACTCTCGAAAATCCTTTTTAAAGAAAATATGGCCCCCCCTCAATTGAAAACTGTCGTAGCGTAAGTACCGATACTGACACTTGTTTTTACTTCACGTCCAACGATGGAAAAACAAATTTATCATTTCGCGCTTCACGAGAGATAACCAGCGGTAACCCCCTGCATTAAACTTGGCAATTAATTCACGAAAAACATTCAGTGGCGTGACAATCGATATTTAACGATACAGTTAACTCAGAGATCACATTGAAGTACTATAACGTTGCGAAGTACAAAAAAATCCAAACACTTTTACTGTAAGCTCCCCTGAAATTGCAGATCCCAGGGGGCGAGGCCCAGAGACCATCGACACCGGTGCAGCGCTGCACCGGGGCGCCACAGCTAACCACGAGTCCAGAGCTGTCCCCACCGACGAGCCCCACGCTCCGTGCCTTACCGATCATCGAAGCCGTGGACTCGGGCGTCGGCAATTTAGCCTCGCGCCGACTCACCCCGACGCTGACGATCACCCTGCCGTCGAACGAAGAGCTACGCAGCGCCTCGTCGCCAGAGTCGGCACCCCCGCTACACCAGCGCCGCCAGTTGGACGTGAATTCGACGAGTTCGACGACCGACGATAGCTCGTCTGCCTCAAAGTTCCGTCCTGGTGCCTACTCGAGCAGAGCTGGTCCGGGGGAGTCGTCGACGACCACTTCGGGGGCGGAGAGCACCAGGCCTTGGCGACGCCCCGACTCCAAGTGGAACAAGGTGAAGCGGGCCTTCCTCACCAGCGCCTCGTCCGTGCCACCCAGTCCCAGTAGGCTGTCCTCGTTCTTCAACGGTAAGGGCCACCTTTTGCTTTCTTTTTCCACACGTTTTGCAGAAGGTGATTTTTTACAGCTTTCTCGAGGGTAATAGAAGGTGTTTTCGACTCTCTAATCGTTGGTGTTGAGGTTGGTCGAGGGTATATTTTTGCACACGGTCTGTTCAGACAAGAGAAGTTGAACTTCATTTCACTACATGGGTTCAAAATAAGTAGTCATAAATTGGCACACTTGTTGAATGATCTGATTTATTTATATTTCCGCGAGGAGCTTTTAATAAGATTGAATTAACACGTGTTGGGTTGACAAAACTTTAATAGTTGACAAAAACCTATATTGTGAGGTATCATATTTTTTTTTTTTTTTTTTTCCGATTATTGTTGCAATTTTTCTGATGTTTATTTTCACATTTTTCATTACATTTGGGGTTATTTTTCAATTTTTATAGAAATTTTTTTTTTAATCGTGACAAAAGTTGGCATAAAACTTTCCAAAACTTCAGCGCTTGCCTTGAACCCTTTTCAACTCGACGATGCACTCGTTCAACTTGCCCAAAAAACTCGTTACCTCGGCCTCGAAATCCCTCATGATTTTCTCGATGATCCTGTTGTTTTCCTGCACCACCTGTTTTCTCATTGCCTCGATACTCACCAGTTCAGCTCGAGTGTACTTCTCGAGCGTCTCGAGTATGATCGAAGCCTCCATTGAGCTGGTTTCGACACACATAGCAAGGGACGATAGGTTGACGCATCCGTGGCAGGTACGGACTATCCCCACGGCCGTGACGGTCTTCTTTTTCACTTTGCACTCCAAAGCCTCGAGCCGGGACTCGATCCTCAGATCCCCTGACTTGTTTTCGCACTGCCACGTCTGCGTTGGTACAAGCAAGTATTTGTGAACTTTTAAAATATACAATTTTCTGTGATAATCTATTTTTTGACATTCGATTTTTGAAGTTCAACTCCTCGCGACATGGACAAATATGGGCATATGTTTTATTATAAATAACAAAAAATTAGTAAAACCCGTGACCGGTTTCACTCGCATACCTTAAGGTTGTCACTGATATTTTCGGCAATGGCGTAGCTCTGGAGTCTCTTCTCCGCCCCGCACACGTAGCTCATTTGAAAGATCTCGTCGACCCTTGCCCCGATCTCCCGAAGCCTCTTTAGTGCCCGGTTTTGTTCCTCAGCCGAGCGCCTTGCGCTTTCCTCCGCTAGCGCGGCTCTGATCGTCTTCACCTCTTTCTGCGTGAAAATCTGCAGATCGAGAGCCCTGCGCCGTGCATCGGTAAGGGCTTGCACGTAAATATCCGCCACCGGTACATCCGGACGCTAAAGATCGCAATCGATGGTCCAGGATTTTTATGCCTCACTGGGTTGATATTGCATTGGTGTGTCGGTTTTAAAGTGATTTGTTACTTTTAGTTGAACCCCGTCGGTTTTGCAGACGAGAGTCGATTGGGGCTTATTCGGGCACTTTTTCAAAGCTTCTCGATAGTTTTTAGCGCGGCTTATCGCGAAAGGATTGGTTTCTTCGTGCGTCCTCGGACAAGTGTTGATTTTGTCGGACGCGTTGCGCGCAACTACCTGTAAACAGCTTCGTAATTTTGGTAGATTTTTGTTTGCCAACTTGGTTCTCGTGGATACGAAAAATTTAGACAGCAGCATTGCTGATGGTTTCGTCCGAAATTACTTAACCCTATTATTGAACAATTTATTTATTTAACCTCTAAGTGACCATGATTGATGTTTTACGGTCGCGTTACGTTCTGTCACAAGGTTGGTCTCGATTCTCAACAAAAAAATATTTTTTTTTTTTTTTAGAACTTTGGTTGGAAGTTTCTAGATAAGTTAATAAAACTGTATGATGATGAATACTTTTGACGATTCTTGGATCATTTTTTTTTCTGTTTCTTTTACGTTTTTGTGTAAATATGTAGAATTATAAGAGAAATATTTGTCATTGAAGCGTATAAAAATGATACACAAATCTCTTTCAATGTTTCGCATTTTGCCATGCAAATTTTTCAATTTTTGCAACGTTCGTTTTTAAAATCGTATGAACCGTTGCTATTTTCTATAGTCACGAGGGTCAGATTTTCAAGCACTTAAATATGTCGTTCCTTTTTTTTTTCTCTATACCTATTCAACCCACAATAACACATGAATCGGTCGAAGAAAAGAGCGTTACAGAGACCAAAAATATCCGACTTATAGAAACCGACGGCGGCGGCAGTTACAGTGCGAGCGCGGAGGAGTTGGACAACAACAACGAGGGCACGAGCCCCACGACGCAGGCGGACATTCAGCGCAACTACCGGATCCTCCACGACAAGCTGAGCTTGGAGTTTCATCGAAAGCTCACCGAATGGGACAAGCTGAAAAACGTCTCGGGCACCACCGGCTCGACGCGACCCCTCACCTCGCCCAAGGACAAGGACGCGGCGAACGCCCTTCTCATGGGCGAGGGCCAATTGACGCCCGAGTTCCGCAAGAAGCTCCAAGAGTGGAAGCGCATCAAGAAAGGCTCCTCCGCGTCTCCGGAGCAACAGCCGTCCCGCCGGAGGTTGGCCGACTGGCAAATCTGGAGGACGACCGGCAAATCTGACGGAAAAACCGACGCCGATGCTCGTGAGGACCTCTTTGTGCTTTTTACTTTGACTCTATGCTTGCCGATTTATCTTTTGACGATCATTCTCACTAATGACATTGGTTAATTGCTGGGCGTTTGCTGCACCCCTGTGCCATTTAATGTATTTTTCCCGTGCAGAAATTTATATTTGCGATGAATAAAAATCGTCATTAACGATTTAAAGTCAAAGCTCGTTTTTCGGGATCTAGAGCCTTAGAGAGTTTAGGCAATCATGTTATAAAAAGTATTTGGACTGCACATGACGAGTATTGAATGGTTTTATCGTTTGTTTGAATATATAAATTCCAGCTGGAAAGGTTCACCTGTCCGACGACTTTTTGAAGAAAATGGAGGAGTGGAAGAAGATAAAAGCCACGCGTCCCGAGGAAGACCAGACCTCCAGTAGTAGAAGAGGCTCGGGGGAGGCGCACCGGTTGCGCACCGCCAGTCGAAAGTGGCAACAAATGGACGAGTCGGAGTTCCAGCCGTTGAACAAACTCGTCGCCATGATCGAGAGGGAGCAGCGGCGGATGGAGAAACACCGAGACAAGTTGCACGAGCCAACTCCGAGGTATCACGATTGCCCTTTTTTTTTGTGGGCTGAATGAAAGTGTTTTTCAATTGAAATATTTGCAGGACGAGTGCATTGAGTCGAGTGCTCGATTCCGCGTCACCGGAGAAACGGGAGGTGCTCGTGCACACGGCGACCGGGTTCTACAGGTTCGAGGGCATTTCGCAAGAGTTCACCAAAAAATTGTACGAGTGGGAAAAGAGTCGGGGTATTGCGCCGGAGTTTTCCACTTTGCAGCTGCTCGACCCCTCGTACGAAGTTCTTTCCAACGACCCGGGCACCAAAATCTCACGTGTGTACACGAAACCTGCATTTTTTCAATTTTTCACCTCGATCAGTTTCGTTGTTGATTTACTGGTGTTTGTTGCAATTCGCGTGAAACAGGATCCAAGTCTCTGCAAAGGTCCAAATCGATGAGCAGCGTCGTGGAAAACAGTACACGGGAAGCAACTCTGATCCGTCAGCCATCCAGTTTGTCTTTGAATGACGTAGAAAATTTAGAAAACGAAGGTACTGTCAAGACTGCTTTACTGCACCAATTAGTTTCATCCAGAGCTTAGAAGTGGCATATTATCTCACAGAAATACACTAATCTAAGCCTTACAGCCCCATAACCCTGTAACCCCAGAACCATGAGCTATATAATCAACTTTAATCTACAACCATATAATACGGGGATATTTAGTTTTTTTTAAATATATATTTTGTTATTTAAAATTTTTATCTATGCAAATAATTATACGAGGTTGTTGGGGTTGAAGGCTAAATGTATGTCTTAATAGTTGTAAAGAAATTGTCGGGTAAGAAGTCTAGAAATCTTTTTTGTTAGAAAAAACAATTATTTACGGTTTATACGTTATTTTTACGACGTCACAACAACGTTCATCCAAAATGTTATAAAGCTTTAAAAACAATGTTTTTCAATGTTTTTTAACCAATTTGTAACAGTAAGGATAAATATACTTGTAAATAAGAAATCCTCTAGCACAGCAGTGCTTCTTATGATCTCATTGGCAAACGTTTGTTTTGATTTCTAGTTACGTACCTCGTAAAACTCGATTTTTGCCGGGCCGTATTAATAAAATGCTTTTTTTTATTATTATTTTCGAAAACAAAAACAGCAAAATTGCGAAGCGATTCCAAGCAAACGATCGGCGAGGAGGAAATGTCGGAGGAGCTAGCGATCGACGATTCCGAGCCGGAGGCCGTGATCGTCGACATCGAGGACGTTGTCGAGGAGACCGCGAGTCCAATGGCCAAGTTACAACCGCAACAGACACCGGTTTACTGCGTCACCGCGAGCGAAACCACCAGCATTGCCGTACCACTCGGCACCGTCACTGCTAGCCACGAGCCCTCACCGGTCATTCTCATACAACCCGGAGAAACTCACCATTCTGTCAGTACACTTTTGTGATATTTTTTACTATAATAACCATTTCCCAATACTTCAATCGGTATTACTCACAAGTGATGCATGAAGTGATCTTTAAATTTTAAATCCACGGTACTTTTTATTAATTTGGCAATTGGATGTACAGTGAAATTGTAAAATTGTTTTTAGAGGATCGAGAGGCATTGCAGGTGTACTCAGTTTCGTGATAATGACCGAAGCAACGGCAGCGCGGAAACTTATTCCAGCAATGCTCATATTGCAGTCGACAATCACAGGAATAATGACACGTTGAGCGACGATCATCGGAAAAGGTATAATGTGTTTGAATTCACCATGTCCACGGGATAAACAATTTTATTCATGTGTCGTTAAAGGTACTTTGAGCCAACTGAAGTGAAAATTTGTGAAACGATCATCGAGGAGGATACAACGTCGTCACTTAAAGGTAAGAACTTTACGAAAGATTTAATTTATAAATTCCAAAATAGAATCTTCTTGTCCTAGAAGGGGAGTCCAATGCCGATGCCGAAACATCTAGCGTTAAGACCGAGGATGACGTTGAATCGCTCAAAGAAGTGGAAATAATGGCATGAAGTTTTTACTAATTACATACTCATCGTGGACAATCTGCAATGGTTTTGGTTTAATTTTTTATTCTTACCATTTTTAGACTAACGTCGGATCAGGTAGTTTCGAGAACTTTGACCAATACAACCAAGTGCTCAGGATAAATAGGACCCCACATCTCACACGCGCCGGACTCAGTTCACCAATATGTGATACACTAGAGAGTGCGCCATCCAAAGTCAAAGTCATCGAAGGTAATTGACTTTTAGGCTGTGGTAAATTTGTCAAAATACAACTGACAAATAAAGTCAAGGAATTGACGTTTTCAGCCACAAACACCCCGGATGCAAAGAAGGTAGCGGATGCCGAGGCCGAGGTTCGGACCTTGGACGACAGTGTAATGGTGAATCACAAGGTCATAGACATAAGCGACGCTATAATCACCGTGAGCAACGAGGCGAGACCAAAAAAAATGCTGAAAACCCGAAGACTGACCGACACCCAGGTCGGCTACAAGTGGCAGCAGGCCTCTGGGACCATCGAGGAAGCTCCATCGCCAGATCCACAGGACGCCCTGACCGTCTCCACGTACCCGGAGACTCCGAGCGTCGAAAAGATAATCCTCAACGAGAGCACTTTGAACAAAATCATCGTCCCCACGGCATCGAACGAGCAAATATCCAACATCGCAGCCCTGGGCGAGCCCAAGGAGCCGAAGGCAAACGACCACGGGGAGCCGCACCGCAGGAGACTCAACATAAAATCCGAGTCCAAGAGCGTCTTCGTCAAGACGAAGCGCATCATCTTCTCCCCCTTCAGCCGCCGCAACAGCAAAGACAAGCAAGCCCTGCCCAAAGAGGAGCCAAGTAGCCCCGTCGCACCAGCCCCGTCCAGCCCCGGCCAAAAGCTCCCGGACATACAACGAAGCAAATCCAGCTCCGAGTGCCCGGCCACCCTGATCCAGCGACCCCCTCTGCCCCAGTCGCCCATCCTCTCGCGCAAGGAGTACAGGCGCTCGTCGCCGAAGGAAACTGCGCCCAGCATCCGCATGATGATCCAGCGGTACAACCAGAAGCTCCAGGAGGACGCGAGCAGTCCGGCCAGCAGTGGAAGTGGCTCACCCATCTGGCGGTCGCCAACCAGCGAACGCCGAGTCCGCACCCAAATGGAGAGGTACCAGGAGGAGGTGCAACGGGCCGTTTCCGGATCTCCCAGGAACCGCGTCGAGGAGCTGTCCCACAAGAGACTGGAGAAGAGCGCGAGCGCCGGAATCATCCAGTCACCACCATCCACCGCTCGGGCCAGCAACGTCCAGGGTGAAATCTCCAAGAGCACGAGTGCCGATTTCGTTGGCTTGCTCGGGAAGAGGGCCAATGGTTCGGGGACCGAGGGTGCGGTGGACGATTACGGCGAGAAGAGGAGAAACAGCCTGAAGAACGCGGAGATATTCACCAACATAAAGCAATCGTTGGCCCAAGAGTACAAAGTCCTGCCGATCAAGACGGAGGTGTGCAACGACAGGGTGGACAAGGGATCGAGAAAGTTGCCGGGCAAACTCTCCCCCGAGTTGATTCACAAGCTGAACGCCTTGTCGACGACGAGTCGGAAGCACAAGCGCTTGTACGCGAACTCCGAAGTGCCGGGCGGCCAAGCGACCGCGAGCGAGAACTCGACTCCGCTGAGGGCGCAGAGGATGAAAAAGGCAAAGGACGATTTCTTCTCGCACGGGCCCAGTTGTTGCTCCCACGATGCCCGCGCTCCGGAGCTGAACAGCAAAATGGAGTTTATGAGGTCGGCGAGCGCGGGGATGATCAACGTCGACACGAGGACGTTCGAGCGTTTGTCGACTACGGCGGGTGAAGACGCGGAGGCGTTGCCGAGGGTAGACAAGGCTTGCGCCGAGGTGGCTGGGGCCTTTAGCAAAATCGCGAGTAAATTTCGGCGGGCGAAGCTCAAAAGGGGGAAGGATAGAGACGGGAAAATGAGCACGGTGTCCATGCTGTGTCGGCAGAGCCTTCTGGTGGACATACAGGCGGGGGAGATGTCCAAGAGTTGTCCGACGTCGCCGTCCCCGCACAGGGACGAGGACGACGTTTACAGGTTCAAGCAGCACCGAGAGAGCAAATAAAATTACCGATTCGTGCGTTATACATAATGGAGGTATTTTTAACGGTTGAGTACAATTTTGTTGTTAATTTTATCAATGTGTAAGTGACTTTGTGTTTTTTCAGTGCAATTTTTGTGCAACGTTTTGTATTTTTATGTGAGGGATATTTTTTTTTTTTTTTTTTTTACTATAAATACGTGGGAAAAGAGTNTATCTTTCATCGATGAAAATAAATTTATATTGAAAAAAAAAAAAAAATTTATAATAAATGTTATCAATTTTTTTTTTAGGTACAATTCAGTACGTTTTTGTTAGAAACAAAGTTAATCCAAGCTTTAAAAAAGTAACAAAATACAATTATACTTTAAGCGATTTATTTACTGCAAATACGTTATCGGTTCATGGTCATTGCAACCCAAACTCTATAACTTCATTATCTTACTTTTTTTAAATACTAGCCCAGAAAGGCGCAATGCGCGCCAAAGGTTAGTTTGACATCTAATCTTACAACTAACTTCAGCACATTTTACAAAATATTCATATTCATCTACAGAATCTTTGCATTCGATCATAGAAAAAAATAACTATATTACAAGGCAATAGATTTTTATTTATTTTTTTGTTTATTTTTGTTTACAGTAATTGTATCGAGCTTTACGGTCGCAATTGTTAAAGAAAATATTTATATGATCTCAAATATGTCTGTAATTATCACAAGTAATTATTATGATAATGATCGTACAAATATCAATATAAGAAAATGTAAATAACATTGCACCGATTTTAATATTTACACAAGGTTTGTATTGGTTATTTTTAAGATCATATAATGATTTTATTGAAAAAAATATATCAATAATAAAAATTTAAGGCTTACTTTCAACGTATATGTACGTCTAAAATGGTTAAGCACGATAACCTTTTTTTTATTTATTTTTTCATACCATACAATCAAATCATCTTCGTAGGGTTTTTTGAAATTCACATTCAACACATTACAAGTAATTTTTTTTTTTTTTACGAAAAATGTTCAAGAACTTGTTTTATGCTATACAAATCAGCGATAATTTTGAATCATCAAAAATTAAACAAGTATTTTGTTTTATTTCGCGTATACATGGCCTTGGCTAACGTTTCAAAAATCATTTTAATAATAAAAATAACCTTCGATGTTCAAAATCTGTTTGTTTCTAAGCATAAAAATCTTATTGAAAATGAAACAGACCACACACGGTTTGTGTAAGTCACATTTGACACAAATGTCACGTGAAAAATACACAAATCTTGTATACTTCAGTCCCATGTTATACACTATTTTTGTGTATTTATTTATAAATATTACTTTGAGTAAGAAGATACTGTTACGTATGGGAAAGAGATTGGTAAGAAGTACTAACCGCGTCAAATGCAGCTTAACCTCGGAGATCGACGGAACTGCAACTCTACCGTTGCGCCACCGCGATCACTTGAAGTTATAGACATTCTTGAGTAAGAATGAAGTCGTGAGGGCTCGATAGAGATTGATCAATTGTGTTTGAATTGTTTTATTCGGGATAGCGCGTACGCAGTCCCGGCTACCAAAAATAATACGCCCGAGATATCCACATTAGGGATATTCGCAGGGATCAACCCAACCGTAGTGCAATGGAAGGGTCTCATCCTGGAAGGTCCGCCTTGTTGATCACGGAACCTTCTGCGCCAGGTAAGTATACTGATCCTCGTTCATCCTGCCCTCTTATGCACTCAACTTGAAATTTTCTCTTTTGGATTGCTCGATGCCTGCACCTATTGTTCAATACGACATGGGTCCTTTCCATCTAGCGAAAGTTTGGGGTAACAGTTCCCCCCCCTGACTTCCCACTTTTCACTTTGTCTCTCTCCCTCCATTGTAGTCACTCAACGAACGATGTCTTTCTATATAGATGTACAAATGCAAATGCATGTGTAGGTTTTGTACTGTTACGTTCTCAATCAAAAAGCCTTACAAATAAGCCATTGAAACCCATCTTTTTCTCCTTCTTTTTTAATTTGACAAAAAAAAGAATAAGTAGATTGTTTTATGTGCACAGCAACTTCTAAATATTGCACGTAAGTTTATTAGATATAAGATCAAATTACTAGGCAACATGTTAATGGTTCATTCTGAGGTTACTGCAGCAATAATTTCTAAATGTCCACTATTTTCAAAGAACATTAAACAATAAACATCTGGTTGAGCTCAAATTTTAAAATACATAGATTTTCAATCAACCTCATACAGATATTGACAAAGGTTATGAACTTTTTATTTTTTAAAAGAAATAATTCATTTTAACGTGTCACATTTACTTTCATATTTACTTATGTTTTAAAAGTCCAAATTTTATAATGGTAATAGATTCATATAAAGTTGGCAAGCTGGTAATTAAACATTTTTTAAGTAAAATAAATGTATAATGAAATATAATAACGTTCATAATTCTTTCAGGTGGTGATTTCAATTAAGGCTTAGTATATTACATTAGGCTAACCAAAAAAGTATGTACACTTTTAATGGTTTGTTTCAAATAATAATTTATTTTTACTTCTACTGAACGATAAAAATAAAATCTTTGAAAAACAAATTTTTATTAACTAAATAAATTATAGTATTGATATAAGATATTGTAATTGCATCCTTGAGAAAGAAATTTGTGACATTATTAAGCTACATGGATATTTTGTACTAAAGTGATATCTCCTTTCTCTGGTTACAACAGTTTAAAGGTTATTTTTAAATGTAGCCCTATTTTTCTAAAGAATCACTTCAAAGTTGGGTTACATTCAATACAAACTTGGTGGCCAAGTTCATATCAGCTACTTACATTAACTCATATTTTTTTGTTACAGAAGGAGAAAATGTCCGTTATACAGCTTATAACACGATAATTTGTAAGAATAAAAATTAGTTAGCGTAATAAAAAAAAATATTAATAATTTTATTTTTATGATTTTTCTTCTATTGTCAACTGGTTTCCTGCAAATGATAAATAAAACAACAAGTCTGTTATAATTCTAATCCATGTTCAAGAGGTAAAAGTTATCATATTATGGTATACCAACAATAGATTTGTTCTTCCGTATGAACCCCGATAGCATAAGTTAGAAATTTTTATCAAACATTACTCAGGGTAGGTACAACATTTTGACAAAGAAATGTCTTTGAAATTACTCAGCTTAAAATGTTTAAAGAAAATTTTTTTTTCTGTTTCGACCAAAAATTTATGTTTATTTTATTCCAAAATATTTACGTTAGCACGATATAATTACTTTAGTATTATGTTTTAAAGTTGAATAAATAATTTATCATTATTTTAGGGAATAGAATTAGAAAAATTATCTTTCATCGATGAAAATAAATTTATATTGAAAAAAAAAAAAAAATTTATAATAAATGTTATCAATTTTTTTTTTAGGTACAATTCAGTACGTTTTTGTTAGAAACAAAGTTAATCCAAGCTTTAAAAAAGTAACAAAATACAATTATACTTTAAGCGATTTATTTACTGCAAATACGTTATCGGTTCATGGTCATTGCAACCCAAACTCTATAACTTCATTATCTTACTTTTTTTAAATACTAGCCCAGAAAGGCGCAATGCGCGCCAAAGGTTAGTTTGACATCTAATCTTACAACTAACTTCAGCACATTTTACAAAATATTCATATTCATCTACAGAATCTTTGCATTCGATCATAGAAAAAAATAACTATATTACAAGGCAATAGATTTTTATTTATTTTTTTGTTTATTTTTGTTTACAGTAATTGTATCGAGCTTTACGGTCGCAATTGTTAAAGAAAATATTTATATGATCTCAAATATGTCTGTAATTATCACAAGTAATTATTATGATAATGATCGTACAAATATCAATATAAGAAAATGTAAATAACATTGCACCGAGTAATGGACCTTACTTTTACAAGATTAAAAATCTTTCCACCCAATATAAAGAGATATTTTACTGAATAAATACATATGAGTAAATATAAGTATGGTATAAGAGTGAAAATTATAGTATGCATGTGGGTAGACTCAATTATTATTAATAATGACGTTCCGAGTGTTATTTGTCTGTCGATCAGACGCTAAGCGAACTCCGTGAGCTCACGTCTCCTTTTCTGAAACCAGTTCTGTATGGCCATTAGACGTGCCTGGGGTTCCTGACAAAAATATTGCTGCAAACGTTGACCTGTATGTGTTTCCTCGAAGGATTTTTTACTCCTTTTTTTTTTTTCAACTCAGAACAGTTATTGCTTTGTTTCCTTCTCTTCTATCCAGATGTCATTAAAATTCAATAGGATGTTCACCAAAACATGTCTGCGGGGAGTTGGCGTTTAGAAATTTTAAAATGGGACCGTGATATCACTGGATGAGGCCAGCCAAGCGGTACTTTGCAAATAAATTAGACTCATGTTTTCTTGTCTTGTGCACACTTGCGAAAGATATTTTGTTGATGGAGTTACTTTTATGATTGGGATAATCGAGTGGATCCAGATAAGTACTCGAAACAATTATGGCAGAACTTTTTTTTCACATTTTCAGGGTTTATTTGATTTTTTTTTTTTTTTTTTTTATGATAAGACTGTGTACCCCGACAAATCAATAATTAAAAGAAAATACGAAGTAAAGCTACAGACATCAAATACAAACATGATGACATAATACTCATTTAGTTGGTACATAACTTTTTTTTATTATTTACATATAGTGTATTACATCACACTTAGATGTTACAATTATTGGAAATAAAACCATTAGATGATGTACTGCTGCGTTGCTTCTCATCTAATTTGAATTTTTCAAGTATAATTTTATTTTTCATACTATTTTATCGTGGTATACAAAACGTGGTTTCAGAAGTATTAGTTTTCTAAACGGCGGGGAACTTTGGAAAATTCAGGAGAACCTCTTTGGCAATGCAGTAAATTTTTGCTTCACGTGCTTGATACGGAGGTCAACGTGAAAAGGAGATCAGTTGTCCTATGCTAAGTACATAATGCAAGCTTTATTAAAGAATAGTACGATACAAGAAAATTACAGATTTTAAAAAGTTTTTTTCATGAATTTACGGCAGTTGCAATCGTTATTACTTTCACAGTTTCAGTTTTCAATTTTTTCTGAATTAATAATAACAATTGATTTTCAGTAAATATTTTATAGTGGAAAGCAGATGTCTTCATGAGCATAAAATAATTTCTTTGAAGTTCTACATGAAATAAAATAAGAGTACTGGTAAGTTGCAATTCTAATCGTTGATAAATAAACCTATGGTCTTACATGTTTGTATTTGCCAGAATTTTCTTTCCGTAAAGTGTGAAACCGATTATTGAATAAAATTAAATTTGAATAACAAGCAAAAAATTAATTTACTATTCAATGAATTTTCAAGAACTACAACTTACTAAATATACTTTATAAAAAAAAAATGATCAACAAAATTCCGTTTTATCAATAAAGTATCTACTTTATCAGCATCGCATTATTTAGTTTTTATAAGATTCTTAAAAGCACAATCATTGATTTAAAAAAAGTATGTATAAAGAATTTTTTTGGCTTAGAGAAATCCGAAATTTTTTAAGCTAAGACTTATCCATCAGTTTGCATAACAAACAAATTTATGAAAACAAGAGTTAAACAAAACAGCTAATGCACTTGGTCTACGAAACTTGTACATTAGTTATTTCAAAACAATTTTAAGTTCGTAACATGTCTTTTACGGGTTTAATCATGAAAAATACACATATGTGACACCACATTACTGATATCTCTTTTTACATTAAATCATCGACTGAATAAAATTGCCAAAAAGGTCACTTGTGAATAAATTAATTTAAAAATCTCAGAGGATACCCAAATTTCAATCAGTAAGAAAAAGTATCTTTACTCTCTAAAATCAACATTGTAAAAAAAAAAACTATTACTTTCAATTTGTAAGTGTATGCAATTGGAAACATATTAATAACGTTTTACTCTAAAACTACTAAAATTTTCACTACATAAAAAAAAAAAAAAAAAGTAAAAATCTTCTCTCATAAAAAAAACGAATGTCTAGTTGTATGTAGGTCAATAGTAAATTTTTGTATGATTTAAAGACACGCACGTTATCTTTTGTACAAGGTATGATAAAAGTATTCGTGTTTTACCGAATTCACCCTAAGGATTCCCGAAACATCGGGGAAGATGAAATGACACGAGACGACGTGACTCTTCAACATAATCATTAACTATTATTCTCGTAGTACAAACTTTGCACCAATCAAAATTAAAATCATTTTGCCACACTTGCAACTCAGCAATAAACAATGTTTTTCCCATCAATCGAAATATCGGTAAAAGTATAATCACTTTGCCGCGATAAGCGATCGGCTCCCCAACTCGATCCCCCATACGGGAATTCCTAACACGTCACACACTACCTTTTTTTTCTCTCTCTCCCTAAGATCATCCGCTCTCTCGAGATATCATCGCCACTGCACACCGACGATCACGAACGGATATCCATAGACACGGGAGCGTGTATTTTACGCTCTTTATTTCCCGGAATGCGCGCATGTCATTATCATTATCACACGCTCGCGCGCGAAGCCTCTCCCTTCCCGGCAAAACAGAGATCTCGCGAGTCTTTATTTGTGTTTTCGATGCCCCCACCCCGGTGAATCCAACGAAAGCGCGTATGGAGACAGAAGCACACGTTTGTGAATTTAGTACGTATGTGTATGAATATTTACACTTGTGTGTGCCGAATAGCGGTCGGTTTGATCGAGGGGATATATAAAACGTGCCGGCGAGCATAGGTGAGCCAGACACTGGGTGAGATCGCAGCGAAGGTTCCCTTCGACGTATACAATATATACTTACCTGTGGTGCACGTGAGCTGCTTTTGGGCTTGGAATCATGGCATTGAAGATCGTTACCTTGGCTCTGCTTTCCGCCTTCGTGATTGTCCTTACTTCTGGTGAGTCTTTTTTTTTTTTTTTTTTTTCTTTCTCTTTCATTGTCAACCTGTTTTTTGTTGAGCACTTGAATCTTTTGTCGATTTTGGTTACGTTTTTTTGAAATATTTTCCGCGCCCTGTACCTTCACAGAGTATCGTTTGAAAGAAGCTTTTATTTTATTTCTCACTAATAATTTCGAAACGTCACGCTGCTACGATTTAAAAGTGTTATGGAGTGAAAAAAGATTTATTTTCAAACGTAACAGTCAGATGAAATTTAATGCTTGTATGTGTAAAATAGTGTGTAAGAGAGATGAGATATATCGTTGAATATATACCACTGATTTAAATAATAACAAAATATTGGTTTACTGTTTTCTGAACAAGTTAAGCGCTTCAAGGTGCAATGATTTATTGGATATGTAGCTTATACAAAAATACAATAACGTTTAATTCATACCAACACTGGTTGTACTTTTTTTATTCTAAATAAAAATGGTTTCGTTAATTTTTTTATCACATTAATTATTTACAAAATAAGAAAATTTCAACATACTTTTGTACTTGTGAAACGAATTTTCTATGTGTTTGTGGATTTTTGAAATGTGAAATTTCCGTAATTATTCCTCTTTTACTTTTACTAAACAAAAAATGAATGAAATAACGTTATTATTTACTTATTGAACGATTTAAAAGTGCGCAATTACTGGCATGTAAATAGTTACTGTTTGATTGAAGAAGTAAAAATATTTTGTAATTTTTTGAGTGTAAATCATATAAAATTATTAAACTATTGTAATTTGCATTTATTAAAAATAAGAAATTATTGAGAAAATATCATGTTACACATAGAATGTGAAAGTAATAGTATTTACAATTTTTTATTATAATTCGAGAAATTTCCTCTATCTCGACTATAGATAAAATACCACTATTATTGTCATCAAACCACTGCTCAATCACTAGAAATCATCAAATTGACTCATTATTTTGTCATTTTGATCAAAAACAGTAAAATTAAACTGTACCAACAAAACAAATACCAACCACTGTTGACAAAACAAATACCAACCACTGATTCACGGATGATCACTCATTTATCATGATAATATTGACTTTGCCTCGGTAATGACTCATTAATTCGGAACTAATGAGATCTCAATTTACTGAATCAATGAGATTACATTTACGTATAGTCTTCTGTTCTGTTTTTTTATTGTTTTTTAATCCCACAATAGAGTTAACACAATTCAAGCTACAACGAAGTTTGTCAAATAAATGATTCTCCATTTGTCCAGGTGAAAAATATAATGTCGACCAGGTCTGCCTCGGCTGCATCTGCCAAGCCGCGTCGGGGTGCAACGTGACACAAGGGTGCATCGGTGACATATGCGGCCCCTTCCACATCACGTGGGGCTACTGGGCAGACAGCGGCAAACCCACTCTCAATGGACAGCCTGCCACTGACAAAGATGGTGCGAATTTTAATTCACCAATCGAGTGGAGATACTGTTTTCTTGTTTATGCAAACAATTTTTTTTTTTTTTTTTTTTTCCCCCCAATGTGTTACAACTTGGTGTTTTGTGTTACAGCTTATGCCAACTGCGCCAACGACGCCCAGTGCGCCGCTCGTGCTGTGCAAGGATACATGGACGTGTACGGGCAGGTAATGAGGCCAAAGTTACGCAATCACTAGTCGTGAAGATAAAAAAAAAAAAAAAAAAACCGCGTTATTAATATTTTTACTGACATGTTCTTTTTGTTTTTCCCGACAGGACTGCAACAAGGATGGAAAGATAAACTGCGATGACTTTGCGCGCATCCACTACCTCGGCGGTTACGGATGCTCGGGTACTCTTCCACCAAAGTACGAGAAGGAATACAACGAGTGCCGGAGCAAATTTTCTGCATGATAGCTTTTTATAGATCTTCCAAACTTTGTTTTTTCGGGATTTTTTTTCTTTTTTTTTTCGTCTTCCGGTGTATAATCCTCTGTTATTAATATCGCATCTGTTACGAAACAGTGCGAGCCGAGATTCTTTTCACGTCTAGTTTTCTATCGTTCGCGTGTTGTTTTTAGTTTGTAATTGATTGTCTTTTTTTTAGACCATCGTCACAGATTTGTTCACAAGCACTATAATTTTATATTTAATCTACAATGCATTTCGATAGTTGTGCATTTCAAGGCTGTTTTAATGTATACATTTATGCACATGTTTTATAATGTGATGAGTTTGCATAGGTATGATATAATATTTCATAGCAATAAAGTTTATTAACTCGTTATGTTCTGTAGTTCCACCAGTATTTACTAAACCTTTTTTACAACTATTTCCTGAGCAATAAAATACAAATATTATATTTTTAATCAATGAAAATTTTACTGTTACAAAGTAGGGACATGTCATTCGAGTAGAATGACGGTAAAAAGCAGTGTCCAGTGATAAATTCTTACTAATAAAGTAAAAGTACTTTTAGGCAGATTCGAGTGATTGAATGATCTCTGATCGATTAAAATAATACTTTAAAAAATATTTCTGGTGCTGCTCCCGTAAAAAAGCATCACAACAATCAGACACAATATCTTATATTCCGATCACACTTTACGAAAAAGTTAAAAAATCATAAAATACACAGATGAGCGAATATCGTTATTTTTTTATGATTACCAGCTGTAGGTAACATCGTCCTTGCGCATTTTTCTCATTTAGTCTTAATTTTTATTTTTACTCAAGCAATTTTATAAGTCACCATACAAAAGCTTCTCTTTTGATTAAAATTGTATTATTCAAAGTTGAACTTAAATATTTTAAAATTTCCGTTTACTCAGTACCACGTGACTCAGGGTTGGTTTTTGACTTACACAAGTTTTTTGTTTTTTTTCTAAAAATACGTTTGTTCCCTGATAATAGAGACAAAAGGTGTACGTTTCCTCCTGCGACTGTGGCACTTTTGCCCTCTTAATCAGGAGAGATAAGTAAGGTATAAGTATATTTATTTTTGATCACGTCCTTATTTTTGTTTATTCATTTATTTTACTGGAAACTACATGTATGTTTTTTTTTCTTCTGCATTACGTTATTGACTACAAGAAAATTATAAGTTTCGGACAAATTTGAATGTCGATGAACGTATGGTTGTGATTAAAAAACTTATTCGAAGGTGGATATAAGTGCTCAAGTGATCAAAAATATACCCTAGCAGTTTCGACTGAGCTCATAATTGTATTAAAAATTAATTTTTTCTTTACTATTGGTGAAAAACTTTTTTCTAGTACTTGTACAACGTATGCAAAGAACATTGTTATATTAACCTCGCCTCCGGCATATCCAGTGTAATCAGCCTCACGAGCGATAACTATTAACTGGCCATGAAATTTTTATTCTACCTAAAATTTAATATCAATTTCTTTTCCTCTAACAATAAGAATGACAATAACCAGTACTAAAAGCAGAAATTTGGTAATTTTTTTTTTTTTTTATTGTCTTTAACTTATTGATTGTACTGAATAATGTGTTCAACATGTCGTTATAAATTCACATATTTTGCATCAAATCATTCGTTAGAACAGCTACTTGGAAAACTAACTCGAATAAACATGTTTAAAAAATATATAAAACGTACAAGTTTTCATGATAAAAGTCTTGATCACAATAGGATTCATAAAAAGTATTAGAAAATATTCATCGAAACGACTGAATTTCCTTATCTGATTATACGAACAAAGTAATCCGTGTCATTATGTCGTTAGCGATGTTTTTATCGCCAATAATACTTACACTTTTAAAAATGATAGTGTATGCTAGAACGCATTCGTTCATTACAACTGATATTACTGTCCAACTGCATGGATGACCGCAGAGTTTTATATATCGGAGAGAAAATAATTTAACTTGGTGTAAAATATACTGTGAATATAATATATTTGATGAAATTAAGTAAGAATACGTTATGTATTGATTTAAAGGAAACCTCTCGATTTTTTAAATATAAAAAAATACTTGTTTTTCCCCAAAAAGCCAGAGACATCATTAATTTTTGACAACGTAGCAACCATTCCATCTTGTGATTAAAAATCGAGGAACCGAAGGTAAGCTTTTTTAATAAAATTTTTCTCTCGTTGTTCACGTTCCAAAATTGAATGCTTGATATTTAAAATAGTGACAGCTCAAGAAAAAAGACTAAACTCAAATTAGTTTGTAAGAAATGTATTGACCACAGAAGGTACTAAAAATATTTGGAAGACATTTGAAAACGATATTTTACATCCAGTGTAACGCAACATCTGCGTCGATGTATCTATTTGCTACCTAAAATAATTAATTGACGAAGCAAATGCTGGAAAGCATTATTAATTTTGTAAATGAAGCTAAGAGCAAACAATTTTTTTAAATCTACGTAATGTTCTGAAAAAAAAAAAAAAAAAAAAACCGCGTTATTAATATTTTTACTGACATGTTCTTTTTGTTTTTCCCGACAGGACTGCAACAAGGATGGAAAGATAAACTGCGATGACTTTGCGCGCATCCACTACCTCGGCGGTTACGGATGCTCGGGTACTCTTCCACCNAATGTTCTGAAAAAAAAAAAAAAAAAAAAAAAAAATAACGTGGCAATGTCCTTGCTGAAATTGTATAAATTTCTTATATCATCTATGTTCAACAGCATACCTGCCTCGTTGTCAACCTAACCAGGGCAAGGACATCACTGTAGAAAAAAAAATCCCTCAGCAGTAACGACAACAAAGGTATATACCATTTCTCCGATCGAATATACATGGACATCGACAATCATGGCCGAAAGTGACAGCTCCCGTGTGCGCACCACACGCCGTCAAAGTTGCACCAATGAGTCCTACAACTGCATCGCGCGTCACGAAGCTTTTATCGATGAATATCGCATGGCAGAGCACCAGCGCACCCACTTTAAGCCCTTCGAGCGCCAATTGAGTTCAAAGGCTCGTAGATCAAGTCTCCATGAACCCGAGGAGACCCGCGCCACGGACAGTGGGACCTACGATTGCCAACATTGTTCAAAAAGTTTCCGTTACAAATCATGTTTCGTAAGGCACGAGCGGATGCACTGCACGGCCGACAAGCCCTTCACCTGTGCATTGTGCTCGAAGTCCTTTACTCGTAAATCCAGTCTGAAAGTGCACGAGCAGACCCACACGGGCAATAGCAAGCCCCACGTTTGCAACTGGTGCTCGAAAAGCTTCGTTAACAAATCCAACCTCAGGGTGCACGAGCGCGCTCACAGCCTCGAAAAGCCCTACACCTGCAAAATGTGTTGGAAAAGCTACATGTACAGATCCAGCCTGAAAGCGCACGAGCGGACCCACGTGGAGGTGAGGGTCTACGGGTGCAGGCATTGCTCAAAATGTTTCGCCGATAAAAACAGTCTCAGGGTGCACGAGCATGGTCACACGGGTAAAAGGCTTTTGGTCTGCACAGTTTGTTCGAAAAGTTTTGCTCACAGATCCAGTTTTAGAGTACACGAGCGTACCCACACGGCCGAGAAGCCCTACGAGTGTAACATTTGTGGGAAAAATTTCACTCAGAGCTCGAATCTTCGGGCGCACGAGCGGATCCATACGGGGGTAAAGCCTCGCGTCTACCAAGTGTGTTCACCTGCGGTTTCAATCCACGCGGCCGAACCGTCGAGATTACCGATAAAACTACCCTCGTTTTCCACTGCTTTTCAATTCTTGTGGAATAAAACTGCTTGAACGATCCTTCTTTGAGGGTATACTGCAAGGCTTTCCCCACGATGAGTATCTGTATATGCGTACCATCGCCTCAAACTGACCTGACCTTGTTTATACTTGTACGCAGAAGTACAATATATGTATAAGAGTAAAGTGTGTACTTGATGAGATGGTGAAACAATTGAATAAAAAAAAAAAACATTCGACATTTTGTGTTTTATTACTTTCAGTTTGCCTAAATTAATACAATTTTATTATCTAATCAGTCTGTAACAATGTACGAGTACAGTATACAGTTGAATCATTAGCTATTCCGAACTTGGTAAGTATTTAATAAATTCTACTCATGTATAAGGGTAAATTGCATGAATTTGCATGTACTTCACGTAAGGGTAAAATTTCTTTTTTTTTTTTTTTCTAGTAAAACTTTTCTAGTACTGTCAACTATCAACAAAACGAATTTTTTTTTTATTATTTATGGCTTTTTCAGAAATACTTTTTTACGTGAAAAATACACAATGTAAGTGTTTTTTGTAATTCGATAGTTAGATGCATAAACGTTAATAAAGTACAAAATACTTGAATATCAAGTAGATACCTAAGTATTTACACAAGTTGTAAAAAAACCAAATCGTAAGTTTTTTTTTTTAGAAAAAAATTTTTTTTAATTATTCATTCAATGGCTATTAATTTATACTAAGAGTTATATTTAATGCAAAAAATCTAGTAAAAATCTGTGGGTACAAAGTGTTCCGAAAAATGCAAAGTTATGCTCGAAGAAAAAAATATATTAGGATTTCATTTTGAACATAAACCATTGGGTCGATTAAAAATGAGTAAGTAAGCTGTTTTATGACCCGCTAATTAATTATTTTCAAAACTAATAAAAGTAAATTAAAAAAGTTTTAGCAATAAAAATGGCGAAAAAAATAAAACTGAATCTTAAAATTTACGAAAAAAATTTTATTGTGTTTTTAAAGGTTATCTTTAATAAAGCACGTTCTATTAGAAGGCACAATTTATTAATTAGTCAACTAAATGACAAATATGGTTGAAAAGGAATGAGATCCTATTTTTGGATTATTTGTTAATTTTGATACTTTTATGAAAAAATCCTAAAAGGTTCTATGATTCGATTATTTTTGCCTATAGTATTATAGTATTATAGTAGTACAGTAAACTGCATTGTTCTACTGCAATTTTATTTTTATGCCTGATTTTGACATAAAGTAAGAAATAAGCAATGTCTTATAAAACTAAAACGGGATATTATAAAAAAAAATCGTTGTTCAAGTCTTGACGGGGCTCTCTCGGATTTTCCTTGTTTTCACCTTTTATCATCACTGATGCCCGACAAAATGCAAAAATCATAGAGCATTCGATAATTATAATTACACACAAGCGTTTCGGAGAAGTCGGATGAATCCGTGTAATGCGCGGATTTCTCATATCGATGCATTCTAATTCGACGATTGCGCTCCTCGTAACGAGTACCACAGCTTCTTCCCACTAAGAAGATCGAAGATTAGATTATCGATCAAAGTGGTATAAAACGCTGAGACCCGCGCGAGGATGAGCTTGTTGTCGATTAAGATTTCAGTGAAGAGTGTTTCTAGTGATACGAGGTTTTTTCTTTTGTTTTCCAGCTCACGCACCTGCACTAGTATGGGGTTGAAAAGTTTGTCTTTTGCCCTCGCACTATTATTGGCAGCTGCTTTTGTTTACGGTACGTGAAATTTGCTTCATTAAAATCATCAGCAATACAGTGGTACTTATAATGTAAGTGTCTACATTACGCGGTGATCAGCATTAGAATTTTTTAATGTGTTCGAATGACGTAATTAAATTTAAAAAGAATAGTAAACGCTAGGAAAAACCAATCAACGACTGTGGGAACACTCGATATGATAAAAGCATCAGATGCATTAGAAAAAAAAATATAATCAACACGCTGGAAATCGCTCGATAAACATGTGTACAAGGCGAACTAATCGAGGCTCGTGTCTTTCAGGCGAAGAGCAAGGCGAGATTACGCAAGCCTGTCTCGGCTGCATCTGCGACGCAGCATCCGGATGTAATACGACGATTGGGTGCACCGGAGATGTTTGCGGACCTTTCAGAATAACCAAGATATACTGGACGGATGGGGGAAAGCCAAGCATTGATGGTGAATCCGATGGCGATGACAGTGGTGGGTAGTCCATGTTTCTATCTTATTTAATTTGAAGGAGACAATGAACTTCAAAGGATACTTGACTTTGAAAGGAATAAATTTAGTACTTACGTTGTACTTACGATAATCCAGAGAGCATACTTACGAAATATTCATGTGGCTGTTCGGAATAATTTTAAGGTTTAGTCATATCACTATTTATCGTCTACAAAAATAATCACGATGAAATTTTAAAGAATATTGTGCAATGGGTATACAATCATCTAATATTTCTTGTGTATTATCTTATATTGCGATTACATGTTACTTAATTTGGGATAAGGACAAAAAAATAGCTTGTACATTTTGCTAAAATTTCAACCACATGAGTACAAATAATGTTAAGCGGAAATTGATTGCGCGATTACAATCGTTTGAAAGTAATAGTTTTGAGGAATCAGCTCGTTAAAATGAAAAATGGCTTAAATTATTATTCTTATCAAATATTAGTGTGTAATGAGATGTACCTCACTGAAAAAATTTAAAAAAATTCAAAAATTGACAAAAATTTTTTTTTATTAACACTAGCTTACTTTCCGTCTTACTTATAATATTACCCACCTATGTACGT